TTAGCTTTAGTATAGCCTCTCTAGGTTTGTAGTTGTTAAGACATCACGCGTTATTATTAGGACGTTGTTTTAGTGGGGGAACTGCGGCGCTTGGTGGGGTGCGGCGCTCGGTGGTGAAACACGTTATCTATTTTAAGTATTATTTAAAACTTAGTTTTAGTCCCTTATAAGTTTTATAAAACTAAGATTAGTAAACTCGCTAAGAAATTGGGAACTAAGGTCAATTTTAACCTTAGTTCCGTTGAGGATTAAGGATAGGATTATTAACATGTACTATCTACGCGATTAAAAACTCTTATACTCGTGCGTTACGTCTTCTGAAAAACAAGCCTTCCTAGATCGTTACCGCTCATCAGCGCTCTCTACCTCCAAATACCCTCCGAGCTACAAACTCAACTGCATGCCACGCATACACGTTACGCCCAGCTGATGTCGCATAATATACATGCAAAGAACCAAATCCTATGTCCACTTCTTCAACCTTCTGGAAAGCCAAAGATGGGCAGCGAAAAGATTTGTGCTAAAGGTGCCAGTCACAAAGCCCTGCCGAGATGCTGAGCGAGATTTAAATGCCGTCAGTTACACTATCAGTGTCCTGCGATTTCCGTATGCCAGAGATCTGAATGAACACTTGATGGTTTGTCTGCACGCAGATTCCCGATGGAATCTCGTCCTAAGCACTTGATCTGCTACAGATTCCAATTTGAATGACGTTCTTGGAGAACCCGTGAGGTGCCACGAAAGGTCATTCGTATTCGCATGTTAGCAGCCGTCTTCTCTGCTAACTAGCCCTTTTAGGAGCTTTCCACTACGGAAGGTTACGATATAGTACTCCGTGCTCATCAATAAGCTTGATGTATCAGACATTGTCGTAGCGCTAACATGATACATGCCCCAAGTTTATATATGTAAGACCAAGAGGGGAGAGAGATAATAACAGGGTTTTAAAGGGTACACAGAGAAGATTTAGTGATAGCAAAAGAGCGTAATGATTGTCAGGAGACAGTGAATAAGGATGAGCTCTAGAAGTTGAATCGAGCGATGGAGGAAGAAAGAAGAGGAGTGAGCGCCAAAGTAAGAGTATTTATACATAAGAGAAGACTTCTGCGTGGAACAACAGTATTGCCTGGAGGTGGAGGTGCGCTGTGAAAGAAGGCCAAGATGACTCGGATGATTGGCCACTAGCAATTTGTCTTATACTGTAGCCTATCGCTCGTCCCTTTCCTCTTCGCTTCCTGACGCTTTGTAATTTCTGTTTCCTATCACTCTGCCATCCTATGTTACGATGAAAGACGAAAGCCAACGACTACAGATCTCCTAAATTGGTCTCCTTCGCTTCCTTAGTACACATAAAAATTGACAGCCTCATCGTCTGATGCGCGGATCTTCTTATTGTCTCTCATCAAGATAAGTCTCATCACCCACGCACACAACACAACACCTGACGAGAAGCCCACACTCGCGTACATGGCCTTGCCAAAGCGCGGTGCATCGCTGTCGGGCCACAGATACGGTGTGTAAACGAAGGAGAGGTTTCCCAATGTATTGACGATAGCCAACGCGACTGATTTCTTCTCGTCCGTCTGGCCGAGCACACCGGCGGTCCAAGCCAGCACGATGTTGTTAACGCCATAGGTCGCTCCCACGAATAGCACCATAGCGAAATACCGCGCGCCAATGTTCAAGGTGGCAGTCCCCACGATGAAGCCCACAATCGCGACGGCTTTAGAGAGCGTGATGTGCCAGGTGCGCTCGTTGAAGCGACCAGATGACCAGGATACTGCTACCGACACGAAGGCTGAGATGAGATATGGAGGGCAGGTCAATACGAGGGTGATTGTTCGGTTGAAACCTAACGTCTGCACGACTGTTGGTAGGAAGTTCTTGAAGCCATTCGCTGATAAGTGAAGATTTTGCATGAGTGCAAAGATCCAAGTGCGATAGTCGACGGCTGCCTCTCGGAGACCTTTCCAAACGTTGACCTTGTCTCGCTTTTGGGTAGTATCTTGTTCGATGCGGCTGTGTGCTAGTTGTCGCTGGGCTGGAGAGAGCCAGCGGGTTTGAAGGGGTGCGTTGGGTAGGAGGAAGAAGGCCGCCACGGCGATGAGAACTGGAGACTGAATTAGCTTTGGTGGTGTCAGGCGGGCTCAGTCTGAACGTACCTGTGAAGACTCCCTGGATCAAAAACAGCCATCTCCATCCCTCTAGACCATGTTTTCCGTCCAATCCAGCGAATATTCCAGCGGCGATTAGACCGGAAAAAGAACTCGCAAGCAAGTTACCAGTATAGAACACCGACATCCTTGTTGCGGTCTCCTTACGCGTGTAGAAAGAGCTGATCATGTACAGTGCTCCTGGATAGAACGGCGCCTCTGTTATTCCGAGTACAAGTCTATCGAGATGAGTACAAGACCTTTAGATGCAATCAAGCTAATCATACCTGCATGCCAACATGCCGTGGTAGTCTTTCACGAGAACCATAAGTGTCGATACGATTGCCCATGCCATCGTCCAACCAGCCATGTAGTGGGAGGGCTTGACACGAGTCAGGAGCATGTTTGAGGGTACCTGCCCCACGAGGTAACTATGCAAGAGTCAAAAAGAACCTTGGTGTGGTAGACGAAGTTCTTACCCGACGAAGAAGATGCTCACGCATGTATTGTATTCTGTCCCCTTTAGATTGAGGTCCTTGTGCATGTTGTTGATCTTTCCATTGACAATGGCGTTACGGTCAAGGAAGTTCATGAAGTACATAATCCAGAGCATTGGCTGTAGTCGTTAGCAACGAGCTTTCCATATGATTCCAGAATTGGCTTACCATCATGTGGGTGTCAAGCTTCCCGACTAGAGATTTCTCTTCAGGAGTATACCCAGTCGCTGCTCCGAATTTATCCAAAGAAACGACATTTTGCGGTTTGTCTAGTGTATCGATGTGCTCGATCGAGTCCTTGAACTTGATATCATTGGATGGAGTCGTCATAGTGAATAGATGGAGCTTTGCGACCTCCAGAGCCGATGATGCCTCATTGCCCCAGCCAACAGCCAGCTTTTTAGTTCTTCTCTTCCCAAGACTCCATGAACTTGGCGAAGCAACTTGTTGCTGATCCGGGGATCGCTGCACGCCGAGATGCGGGGGAAGCCCCGTGCCCCATGAGGTTCGCCTATCCGGCCTCCAAATAAAACGTGCTCGTGCGCTGGTCGAGCATACACGGACTCCACACAAGATAAAGACGATAAGGGGTCGAGAACTTCGGTCACCCGAAGTAGCCCCGACACAGTCGTCAGCATTCGTTGGTGGGATATTTACCTGCTTGCAGCGCATCAACTTACCCCGCTACCCGACAACCTGAAACCATCAATGAAAGTGTGAATCCTACGGAAAAAAAAGTCTTGCGTGATTGTTCGCCCCAGCAATCTGACATCAACCCAGCGGAATTCTTATCCGACACGTTAGTATCACATGCGATCGGAAATATCGGGACCACCGGAACCACGGCGGCTCAAGATAGTATAGATACCACGGTACAAGAGATTTCTTTTGCAAGTATCAGCAAATGATCATGCCTGGCTTATTGAAAAAAACGAACGAGCACGCGGTGACGCCGGCGCTTCGTCTCGCTGGAAGCGATGGCGCAATCCATACTATCGACGAACTGATCAAGCGACGAGCATCAGAACTCGGAGATTCTCCCCTGCTTTACTTTCCGAGAGAAGGTCTCACCGACTATGAAGAGCATTCAGCACGGGCGATTGACGGATATGTTGATGCGGCAGTTGACGCATTACAGCGGAGAGGGCTGAAGCCAGCGGTAGGTGAGAACTAGACCGTGTGAAAAAGTCACATCTGACAGCGAGAATAGGATTTATTGCTTGCTCAGGCACCAACCATCGCGATACTCGCTCCTTCTTCTCTGCAATTTATCATCACTATTCTTGGATTGAACAGGTTAGGCTATGCCGCCCTTCTTCTATCCCCGCGGCTCGCCAGTCCAGCAATATGTTCATTGCTTGAACAAGCCGAATGCGGCATTATACTCACAACTGCACAATTTCACGATTCTTTGGTGCAAGTGCGCAATGAGAAGAGCATTACGGTGCTCGAGATGCTCGAGCACCACGATTACTACAAGGTAGATGCACCAGTGTTCCATCGCACATACGACCCGGAACGTGAGAACCCCAAGAGAGTTGTCATCATTCATTCATCGGGATCGACAGGCCTACCAAAACCCATCTATCTCACTCATAGAAGCTGCATCGCGACTTTCGCGCTGAATCTAGATCGGAAAGCTTTGATGACACAGCCGCTATTCCACAGCTTCGGTTTTTACGAAACCTTCCGATCAATCTACTCCGGAAAGCCCATGTACTATGTCAACTACAACTACCCAATCACGAAGCAGAACCTCCTAGCCACAATCGAGCACGTAAAGCCGGATCTCTTATTCTGCGTACCCTATATTCTGAAACTCCTCGCAGATTCAGATCAGGGGCTCAAGGCCCTAGCCAACATTGATCTGATTATGTACGGAGGTAGTGCTTGTCCTGACGATCTGGGCGACAAGCTGGTGAAGCACGGCGTTAATATCTGCGCAAACTACGGCTCGACCGAAATCGGGCGAGTCATGACATCTGTCCGACCACGAGGTGACGATGCTTGGAACTACCTTCGCATACTGCCCCAAGTCCAACAGTATCTCTTGATGGACGAGGTCGCCCCGAACATATTCGAGTGCGTCGCTCTGGACGGCCTTAAGTCGAAGAGTACCATAAACTCAGACGACCCGCCTAACTCGTTCCGCACCCGAGATCTCTTTGCGAAGCACCCTACGAAGCCAAATCATTGGAAGTACGTTTCACGTCTGGACGACCGCTTGACATTGGTCAATGGGGAGAAGGTACTTCCAATTCCAATCGAAGGCCGGGTACGTCAAGAAGCGCTCGTCCAAGAAGCCATCGTTTTCGGAGACGGCAAGACAGTCCCAGGCATCTTGATCATCAAGGCTGACGCGGCGACCAACATGAATGATGAGGAGTTCCTACAGCACATCTGGCCTGCTATTGAGGACGCAAACTCTCGCGCAGAAAGCTTCTCCCGCATTCCGCGAGATCTTATTGTTATGCTGCCGTCTGGGATAAAGTACGCTACCACAGACAAGAGCACGTTCATCCGCGCCCAAGTGTACGAGCAGTTCAAGCAGCAGATCCAAGACGCGTATGAGAAGTTTGAGAACGACACCAGCGGATCCGTAGCACTGCCCCTTCCGGAACTCGAGGCGTATTTGTCTCGACGATTCTGTGAAGAGCTCGGCGTGGAGCTAAGCTCTCCCAAGTCAGACTTCTTCGCCTGCGGTATCGATAGCCTGCAGTGTCTGCGTATGTGGAGCTTAATCAAGAAGGAGATCGATCTGGGTGGCAAGCAAGCGGAAGTGGGACAGAACCTGCTCTATGAGACTGGGAATATCGCCGCGCTTGCTCGCTACCTTCATGGGCTACGCACAGGAGAGACAGAAGATGTACAAGGCCACGAACAGATCATGAACGACTTGATAACAAAGTACTCGAATATCATACCTGCTATACGGCCAGCCAACAGGCGACATGTTGTTGCTTTGACTGGTGTCACCGGGGGACTGGGTGCTCACTTGCTCGCGCAACTTGTCGAGAATCACGCGGTCCACAAGGTGTATGCTCTTGTCCGAGCGTCTTCTGACATGGCTGCACTGAAACGAACTTTGGAAAGCTTATCTGCGCGGGGCCTTAGTCCCACACGAGAGCAGCTGGAAAAGCTCGTTGCCCTTCCGGCCGATTTTAGTAAATCAGACTTCGGTCTGGGGAAAGAGGAATTTAGCGAGCTTGGAAGGAAGCTCACCCTGGTCATCCACAGCGCCTGGGCGGTAAACTTCAACATCTCCTTACAAAGCTTTGAGAAAGAGCATATAGCCGCTGTACAGAACTTGATAAATCTCTGTCAGAGTAATCCTGATGGAAACAAAGCAAGCTTCTTCTTCTGCTCATCCGTCTCTTCCGCTGCTGCGATGCCGCGACCAGGAACAGTGCCAGAAAGTCCTGTCGCGAACATCTCACACGTTCAGAAAACAGGCTACGCGCGCTCGAAATATGTCGCTGAGCACATCGTTCTTAACGCGGCGAAGCGCGCGGGTGCGGATGCTAGAGTGCTGCGGATAGGCCAACTTGTTGGCGACTCCAAGATTGGGCAGTGGAATACTACTGAAGGTATACCGCTCATGATACAGACTGCCGTCACGCTAGGCGCGCTACCAGCTCTCGACGAAGAAATGTCTTGGCTGCCTGTTGATTACGCCGCCCACATCATTCTTGATTGTTGCGACATCCACGACTCCAGCTCACCTGTTTTCGTCCCTACCTCACCCTTGGATCCAGATTCCGTTCCCACTTCAACCTCGCATCCTGGTCAGTTTTCTCGTCGTCGCAGAGACCCTGATTTCATTGAGATCCCTCCGCCTGATCTCGTCTACCACGTTGTCAACCCCACCCTCTTCCACTGGACGCGCGACTTGCTTCCTGCTCTTGCTGCTGCTGGCTTCAAATTTAAAACCCTGTCTACAGACCAGTGGATGGAGAGACTGCGCAACTCGGAGCAAGACCCTAAGAAAAACCCTCCCATCAAGCTGCTGGATTGGTTCGAAGGAAAGTACGGGTATGGCGCGAGTACAAAGAACAAAGGCGTTTTGGTGTATGAAACAGAAAAGACGAGTGCAAAGAGCGAGAGCATGAGGAACATTCCGAGTGTGACGGATGTGGAGTATGTCAGGAAAGTCATTGAGAGATTGCAGGAGGAGTGGAGAACATAAAGGGCAGGTTTTAACGCTTATAAACGGCGTCTTAAGTGGCCTATAATACGCATCCTTAAGCGCGTGGAAGCATCTCTAAATAATGTGATTGCGTTGCTTTTATAAATAGTCGATGATTATTAGAGTAGCTTAATAGTGATTCATCTCGTGAAAATGCGACTAGCTGCTCACAACTATTTCCGATCTATCTCATACTGTACCTAGTTCAGCCAACAGTCTGACACTAGCAGATCCTAGAAGTCTAGTAATGCCGATAATTCCGCACCCCCATCAA